ACAGGACTTTTTTGGTGGCTGCATCCAGGCTCTGGGACTCCTTTCTTAGAGAATTTAGGCCAGAACTCTCCTTACTATCCTTCTGTAGGCAGGTGAAGACCTTATTGTTTCCTCAGGTCCTTGACAGGTTCATTGTTCGGGGGAAAGGGACTTCCAGAATGCACTGTATTGTCTGTATTAGTTGCTTTTCTTTTTAATGCCCATGCTTTTAACTGCTTTCAGTTCTGTTGGTAGTTTACTTATATGGTTAACATTTCTCTAATGCTGCATCTGTTTTGACTTTTGTAAGTGACCTTGAATCCCAGCCTGGGAAGAAGATGGGATATCAATAAATATAAATATGGAGAGTCAGTGTAGTACAGTGGTTAGGGTGTCGGACTAGGATTTTGTAGTCTAGGGTTCAGATCCCCTGTTCAGTCATGGAAACCAACTGAGCTATCTTGGGCAACTTACACTGTCTCAGTCGTAGAGGAGGCAATGGCAAACACCTTCTGAATAAGTCTTGCCAAGAAAACCCTTTTATAGGTTCACCTTAGGATCGTGCCTTGAAGACACACAACAGCAAACAATAAATATAAATATAATAATATGAGGAAGAGGAGGAAGATGAAGGAAGAGAAGGAAGAAACAAGGTGTCATTGTCAGTGGGTGAGAGGCCTGTTAGGTGTGTGGTGTGATTGCGTTGCTGCCAGTGTTTGTGTGTGTATATGTGCGTCCCTTCCTCAGCTCAGGAGAGCAGACGCCTGCCCAGAGACTGCAGGCCTTTGGCTGCCTGCTGCTGTTGTCGTTTGTGGTTTCTGGAGTGGTGGCATAAAGGCCTCCATTCAGGGGCTCTGGGCAGGAGAAAGGCTTGTGCTGTCCCCTCTGGGCCAAACCACTCTCCTCGGCCCTCCTTCCAACCCTGTCTGTTTGGGAACACAGAGCTCGTATTGAGAGGGGCAAGGCCAGGTTTAAAAGGGGGTTCAGAGCAGCACCTCAGCTCCTCTTCTAGAGCTTGGGCAGACAGTCCTCTCTGGACCACTCCTGACTCCACCTTGCTTCAATGGAGTGGGTAGGCTTTGATAGTTTTGAGCTCTCTGCCTTGTTGTACATTGCTTGAAAAGCAGTTGGTTTCTGTCTTTAATTTGCCAGAAATGCTCCGCTATAGCTAAAGCTCTGTCCAGGCAGCCCCATCAGAACGAGTGAGTGAGTGATTGTACTTGGGGAGACACAGGGCTGGGTGCAGCCAGGATAAATGAGAGCCGCCGGCTGCTTTGGCTGAGGCAGCTCCCTGGTGGACCCCATTGGGCTACTGATTTGGCTGGGGCTCTTCCCTTCTCTTCTGGCCTTCCTCCTCTTCCCAGACAGGGCCTTCAGCCACATCTTCTGATGCTGTACCACAACAGGGGTGAATAGCTCAAAAGAACATGCATGTCTACATGTATGTGTCTATCTATAAAGCAACCCCTCCTGTGCCTCTTTTCCATGAGTGCTAAACTGAGGGGCTTTGAGCCTGCTGGGTTGCTTTGTGCAAACGAAGAGCTCCCTATTCAGGTGGCATCAAGAGGGCCTTGTTTGGGGTGCCCCTCTACTGCTTGGTTTTTACAGTTCTTGCAGAGATCCTGTTTGAAACATGTCCAAGGCAGGGGAGCTGATTCTGCTGCTCCTGCACCAGTTGCAAAGAATTTGCTCAGGGAGAAGCAAGCATTGCTCTCCCCACCCCAAATTCCCCATTTTATTCTCTCCTTCCTCCTCCACCTGTCCGCCCCCCCCCCCAGCTGTTAGGAATGGCTGGTATATAAAGGCCCAAGAAGGGGGGGGGGGACATAGGAGGCCAAGGGTCCTGGAGAGTCATCCAAAAGGCCACCCTTCTCTGGTGGCAGGAGCTCAGCCTGGTGCAGGCAGCCTCACCAACACTTTTTGGCAGGGACCCCATTGCTGGATTCTGCACCAGAAGAAATTTGGTTCTGGGGTCCCGTCTCTTGCTTTGCCCCTTCCTCCTGCTGATCCTCCACACATGCCAGCTAGAGAAGCTTTCCTTGTTGGGTGGCCAGAGGGCCAAGACTTGGCATTCTGAGTTCGCTTGTGTACTTTTAATGCATTTATTTAAATAGTTTATCTATTGCCTCTCAGCTCACCAGGCCTCTCCTTCCTTCCCAGTCACGTACAGTGGAGAGGGATATTTTAAAAACAGGCTAAAACTACTCCTTTCAAATAATTTAATTTCCCTGCCTCTGTTTCTCTTCCTGTCTTCTCTGCGGTGTCCTGACATGCACCTTTCTGACTCCTCTGTTTTTATATTGAATGGAGTTGGGATCCCAGGTCTGGAAGGGCTCCTTGCCCTGCCACTATTGCTGCTATGCTCAGGCCTCTTTGGAGCTTTGTCTGCACACAGGCAGGTGGTTGTTCCTCTGTTCTTGCCTTTGAGCAAGCATCCTGGGAGCACCTGAAAGTCTAAACCATTTTATTGTGGCATATGCATTGGTATGCAGTTATTTATTCAATTTATATTTCTCCTTTCTCCTGGTATGAGACCCAAGGCAGCTTATGACTAATTAAAACAAAGTATAACTAAAACCTATTTGTTGTAAAAGTTTTAAAAAATTAAATAAAGAGTTCTTTTAAAGGCACGTGAAGACACATATAGAACAGTTTTTTAAAAAAAGGTAAAAGCACAGCACACCCCATTGAAAGACTCAACTGCATGATAAATTAAGAGCCTTGCCTAAATAAATAGGTCTTCATTGCTTGGTGTTGGAAAGAAAGCAAAGGTGCTGCAAGATCCCTTTGCAAGGCTGTTAGGACTATCCTCTTATGCCCTATTGTTTAATGTCCTAAACAGAGCCAATGTGATGTACCAGCTTGAGTGCTGGATTCCACAAGACCGGGATTCAAATTTCCTGTCAGCCATGGAAACCCATCGGGTGACCTTGGGCAAGTCCCACTTTTCCTTCAGCATCAGAGGAAGAAATTGCAAAATGTTGTCTGAAGGAATCTGGCCAAGGGAACCCTAGAAGAGGATTGCCATAAGTCAGAGTCAACTTGACAATATGGCCAGCATAGTGTGTGGTTTGAGTGTTGGACTAGGGCATTGGGAGACCAAGGTTTGAATCCTCACCAGCCACAAGAACCCACTGGGTGACCTTGGGCAAGTCACACTCTTCCCTCAGCCTCAGCCAGAGGCAAAGGCAGCCCCTGTCTGAACAAATCTTGACAAGAAAATACCGTGACAGGGTCTCTTTAGGGTCCCCATAAGTCAGCAGTGATTCAAGGCACACAACAAGAAGAAGCTGTAATTCTCCATCCTTTTGGGATTGTGTTGGAAATTGCTGTGTGATACGTCAACCCAGTTGGCTGCAGCTGTGAGAAGAGAGCAAATCTTACATTGGAGTTTGGGGGGCAAAGCATCGGAACAAGACAGCCAGTAGTGTAATAGAGTAATACGAGGTGTGGCTCTATTCATGTGTTGGTTTATTTTATTTCAATTTATTTAGACCAGGGCAGGCAACTGTAGGAGATTCAAAGACCAGTGTTCTACTTTTAGGACCTTCTGAAGGCCACATAGATTGCTAAAAATACATACATAAATAAATATCAAAATGGAAAAAATATCCCAAACAAACCATAAGTTCTCTTCTGGTTTTGAAAAACAGATGTTTTAAGTTGCTAAACACTGCAAGTGTGCATGTGTGTGTCTTGTGTGTTAAAAGTGCTGCAGTGATTTATACAGGTGAGTTGCCACTCTTGAGAGACAATTCCCCCCCCCCACACACACACACACCACTTGCCAAGATACTATTCTTCAGGGAACAGGTGGTCTCCTCTCCTCTCTTGCAGAGGCCAGATTGTGTCTCCCCTTCAGCTCTGCAGTCCCAGGGAGCATTGTGAGCATTGTGCATACTTCTGGTTTCCCTATCTTAAAAAAAGAGGGAATTATGTTGATGGGGAGAGTATAGAAGGGGAAAATCAAAATGATGAGCTTTTTCGCCCCCCCCAAAACAACAACAACAACAACAACACCCACACACTAAGAAAAAAGGTACATGCATTCATGGTCTTTTCAGTTTGGAAACAGGACAATGAAGAAAGGACCAGGCTGGATACTGGGGATTGCAACTGTTGTTTGCTGTGGACCTTCAAGTTGACTCCAGCTTACAGCCACCCTTTCCTAAAGTTTTCTTGGCAAGATTTGTTCAAAGGAGGTTGCTTTCCTCTGAGGTTGAGAGAGTGTGGCTGGCCCAAGATCAGTCCCTGGGATTCCCTGCTGGGTAGAAAAGAGAACCTGGGTCTTTTCTAGTCTAGTCCAGCCCTCAAACCTCAATGCCATGCTGTCTCTCACTGGAGTTGTAATCCCTTCTGCCAAAAAAGGAACTTTTCCAACCTCTGTGTGCTCTTCATAAATACATTTGCCAAGTCAGTGGTTCTCTGCCCTGTACCATTGCATATACAGGTTGAGTATCCCTTTATCTGGGATTCCAGAATTTGAAATACTCTAAAATTGTCTGCATGGGTGACTGAGATAGTGACACCTTTGCTTTGTGTTGGTTCAATGTACACAAACTTTATGCACAAAATAATTTAAAATATTGTATAAAATTACCTTCAGGCTGCGTGTGTAAGGTGTATAAGAAACATAAATGAATTTCATGTTTAGATATGGCTCCTGTCTCCAGAATATCTCATCATGTATATGCAAGTATTCCAAACTCCAAACAACTCTTCTGGTCCCAAGCCTTTTGGATAAGGGAGACCCAACTTGTATCTGTTTTTGAGTCATGGTCTCTGTTCACCCCACACTGGCGCTCCTGACTCCAGAAGAGCACACTTGGCTTCTTCATTTCCCTAGACTGAACTTTGGGATAATTCCCCATTGCTTGTACAGAATGCATTTTTCCTTGCGGGGATATCACCCATCAAGCCAAGCATGTGTGAGCTGCATGGGCCGGTCCCTATGGCTATCTGGCCCCTGTGACTAACAGCCCCCATCTCCCCCTGTGGGGCACCTCCAGCTGTCTGCCTCTTTTCCCTTCAACTCCTTCTTAGCCTGAGGGACTGTTTAGCTCTGGGTTGCCTTGTTGCTGTCTTGTTTCCCCACTCCTTGCACCCAGTCCTGAGAGAAGAAGGAAGATACACCTGTGATGGAGACAGAGAGGTGGGGAAAGACTGAACTCTGCTCTTTCCCTTCCCTCTCAAGAACTGGCATTGGCCTGATTCTGAGACATAGCTTCTCACTTTCTGACATCCCTTTGTCTGTGAGCAGTCTCAGTCTCAGACTTTGCATCTACCTTTGCATCTATCTCCAGGCCTCTTCTCCAAAATGGAGCAGGGAGAAAGCTGCCTTGTCTTATGCAGTTGCCCGTGGAGCTCCAAGAAAGCACCAGCCCTTCCCTGATGGCCAGCTGGGAATTCCTGGCTAAATGGGAGCTGGGGGGCTCTGGGCG